TCTGATGATGCTATGACAGGAGGACTCTTCGCTCAGGTGCTGTGCTGCAGTGATACCCACAACACACTTAGCGGAACTAGAATTAAATTCCATCTATTCTCTATAGAGTTGATACATTAACAGCAGCGAATTAAACCACAGCACTGCTAACTACAATTATTTTTTTATTGTATCTTATGCTGTCTCACAGGAATAACTTCTGAACTGTTCTTATACTGGCAGGGCTCTTTTTTAAAAAAAAAAAAGAGCAATACACAGCTATCAGTGTCTGGTTCACTCTCCTTTGTGTTTCTTATCTAGTCCATTCTTCATAAGCATTTCTCTTCACATAATAGAGTGGTCAATGACAACAGTTGCAGACATATTTAGGTTAATAGAGAGTAAACTTTCAAACAGTAAAGACCAAACCAAGAAAACCATAGGAAACAGAATAAACAGAGACCAGATGTGCATGATAAAAAAATTATTCTGGATGGAAGTCTTATAATGGGTTGAAGCCCAAAAACTAGGGAGTGTACCATACATCTGACATTAAGTTTCATTTCTTTTAAAAAAGAAATATGGCATATGTTGTCTCAATAATCTCATAATTTTCTTTCTCATAAAAATCTCATAATTTTCTTTTAAAAAAGAAATATGGCATATGTTGTCTCAACTGAAGATATGTTTTCACCCACTCTCTTATGGTGCAACAGTATTGCCTCTCTCCCTTTTATTCTAGCTTCTACTTTCCCAGAACTTTCTGAAAAGCTTTACCAACTGCTGTATCTGTCTCTCTTCTGTGGACAACCTCACAGTGCAGGACTACGGAATTTGTATTAACACTCTTTCACTGATGACAAGAATAACTGTTGATATGAAAAACTTTTGTAATGAATTTTTCCAATTTGATTCAAGTACACATGGCAGCCTAACAAACCTTGTAAATGTTGTATATCCAGTGCAGGCTCCTCTGTGCAAGAGCATTTTGTATTGTGGAATGCCCACTCCTGTGCTTCTGAAGTTTATAGCATAATTTTTCAAATTTCCTAGAATAATGAAGATTTCTGTGGTTGTATTTCAAATCAAATATGACTGGGTTTTTTTTTTTACTGACTTCTTATTTTATCTCTCATATTTCATTTGTCACACATGTTAATATTTTATTAATAATATGTAATGTTTTAAGACGACAAGTATTTCCCAAAAATCACTTTTTCATTTTCAAGATTTCAAGTTATTTCAAATTGTGTTTTCCCCTGAAGAAAACCATTAAAATTACAGAAATAATTGTTGGAAACATACATATATAACAGTCAGAGGAAGGGTTTTTGTTGTTGTTGTGTTGTTTTGTTGTTGTTGTTGTTTTAAATAAACCAAACAACTATCTGAGAGAAGATATACAAAAGGAGTAGAGAAACATTCGGGAGCTGATTGAGGAACAATATAACACACAATACCTGGTTTAAAAATGGAGGCCCGATTCGGTAAAGTACTTAAGCACATGCTTAATTTTAAAATATGCAAGTAGTCTCATTGTGCTGAATGGGACAACTCACATGCTTAAAGTTAGGCATGTGCTTAAATACCTTGATAAACCAGGGCCAGAAAGCCTCGGTAGGCATTAACATCCCTTCTTTTAGCAGAAATTATTTGTTCGTATATTTTATGCCAATGCATAACCAATTCTTTACTAGACATTGTCTGACACATGCCATCATTTTATCCTGAAAGTTCTTATCTATGTGCTTAACTTTATGCATGTTACTAATTCCAACTTAAAAGGGGCAACTCAAATGTGTAAAGTTAAGTATTTGCATAAAAGTGATGGCCAGATTGGGGCCTTAGTGTGGTCAGAACTGCTCAGGCCCAAGCACTTAGGCAGACACTGAGCATGCTCCTGGAAACTGAAATCACGGCTGAAAAATAATTTACAAAAACTATATCCTTAGCCAAAAGAGAGGCTTTTACTTCTAAGTGATCCCCAATAGAGTTCATTGGCTTACAATACAAAGACCTTTCACAATTCAGAAAAGAAAAGCTTCATCACCTTAATATGAATAATAAAATGTCACTAAATAACCATATTAAAAATACTGAAACTAAATAATAAATTGCATATGAAAATAAAATATGTTGAAATGCTGAAAGGCATGTTTATTTTTGGCTTGAATGCATACAGGATTCATTGACAGTCTCCCATTTCAGAACACGCACCCACCATGCCATGAAACCTAAATAACATTTTCACAGTTGCATCAGATATGCAAGTCACATCAGAACCATAAGAAATATGTCATTATTCTATTATTTCAACCTTGCACAAGGCTGTGGTCATTGATTTATGAGTCAATCTGCAATTTTACTTTGATGCTTTTCTGTCAACTGTCAGTAACACATTAGACTTGTGATAAATACTATAACAATGTAATTTATGTTAAGCTTTTACAAAGATTGCAAGAAGTCTTGGGATTATTGACAGCATGAGCATTTAGACTTGCTCATTTATCCTGTCTACAAACCCTCCTAGACTCAGCTACGCATTCAGTTTAAGGAAGGTAATTCATCACAGACCCAGTTTCAAAACAATACTTTCACCCCTTTTACTTAACACTCCCAGGCAATCGGTGCATCATAGCATTCTCATTAACCCTAGTACAGCTTAGTCTGTCATTGTTTCAGTATAAATCCCTTGTTTTCAGAGTGTTAGGAAACTACCACATAAATTCACTGCAGCCTGAACTTGTCAATACTTTTAGCACTGAAAATAGCTTGGATTTAAAAACTGAGAACAGCAGTCCATGTAACTTAATTTCTTTTGGCATACTGTAACTTTTTAAAACATAAGAATATAATGTAAGAAGGTGTAAACATTGGCTAACTCTGTTCCTAAGAGCATGCACATGCGTGTGCGCGCGCACACACCTGAAACATCTAAGCAACATAAATTTAGTGTGCATGAACGTGGACAAATTTACCTAATATACCGTAATGGTTCTTTCTGTTGGATCGTTAAATTCCAAACTAAGAAGGATTTACACAATAGACACTAATGACTTCTAAAAAGTCTTATCTCAGGCCATTAAATGACACAGGGCATTCAATTTTACCCAGTTGCCCCTGTATTGAGCCCAATAATTCTGTTTGGTTAAAAGCATATCTTCCACACAGGCATCCTGTCTTGATTTGAAGAAATTGAGGAGATGAAGAATCCACCACTTCCCTTGCTAGTTTGCTTCAACAGTTAATCACACTCACCGTTAAAAATGTGCACTATATTTCAAATTTGAATTTGTCTGGCATCAGCTTCCAACCATTGGTTCTTGCTCTGCCTTTAGCTGCTAGATTAAAGAGCCCTGTAAGTACCTTGGTATTTTCTCCCCTTTAAGGTACTTATACAATGTAATCAAGTCACCTCGTTCAGTATTCTTTCCAGAATACAGTCCCCATTCTGTAGGGCCTGCATTCCCAGATGTAGGACTTTGCATTTGGCTGTATTAAATGCATTTTGTTTGAACGGGCCCCATCATCATTCTTTGCTATTCTTCCAATCTTTTGAGTTACCCACAAATAGCTAATTTTAATTACCAATTATTTTATATTTACTTCCAGATCACTGGTGAAAAAGGGTTGAATGTCAGGCCTAGCACTGATCCCTGCCCAGGGAGGAGCCATTCAGCAGCAAGGTGGCTTCCGTCCTCCTTCTTGCAGTCCTGGCTGAGCATCTCTGCTCTGCCCCACCAGGACCATAGACTTCTCTTTCACCTGCAGGGGTTAGGTGTAGGGAGCCCTCTGCGGCCCAGCTGTCACAGGAGTGAGCCCATGATAGCAGGGCTGCAGAGGGTTCACTGACCTACAGCAGGGCCAGTGACACCTGATTCCTGCAGATGCAAAGGGAAGAGGCTGCACTCCTGCCCATGGTTACCAATCAGTATTCCCACGCCCCACACTCCAGTTTCAGTGTGTCAGCTGCAATTGACATCTATCCATTAAATTCAAATCCTGCCACGCGAGGCAAAATCTATGCTGATTTCACTGATCAGGAGTAGCGCAGTCACACAAAAAACTCACACCAATAAAACCTTTATGCCATGCTACATCACCTTGTCTGTATGCACAAACACACAAATCTATCATATTCATGCTCTTGTGTAGTGCTTCACAAGTATACTATATTGGCACATTACTATACTAACGTAAGCTGCTACATCATGTTGAAAATCTTTCAAACAGAATACACAATCTATCAAACATCACTATCATTTCTATGCAGGCAGTGGCCCATACACTACCAAGATATTCCAGGAACAGAATATAAAATACCTATAATTAATGACAGGTGATGTCAAGTTTCATTTTCATTGCCTCAACTCTTTAGCATTGCATGAAAGTTTTCAGCCAGCTACAAAACCATGTATATAATAGGCTAGGAAAGGAGCCACTCCACACTTATTGCCTGGTCATTCCAGATACCAAGCACTCTCAACTCCCATTAAAGTCATTCAGAAGTGAGGGCATTCAGTGCTTATTACCTGGCAGGGGTAATTTAGGGAGTCCTTCATTCTGGGAACATAACTATTCTTTACATTAAAAGCAACTGTTTGTGCACACAGAAGGGAGAAAGTAACCCCTAACTTCATAGCAAGTTCAGCTACAAACAAGCACTAATGATTGTTATAAGGGGCTGAAATCTTGTGCATTACCTGTGTATTGCATTTAAGGGTGAAATTCTAATTCCATTTACACCAATGAAGTCAATGGAGTTACTCTGGATTTATACCACTATACAGTGAATGCAGAATCAGGCCTTAAATCATATGTAATGCAACTAAAATACTGTTGATGTCACTGGGGAATACCTTACGTTGTCACTGAGTTGTTGTTTTTAAAATTGCTCTAATAATAGTCAAATCTTCCTATCCCTAAAAACACAATGCCAATAACTATCATGTAAAAAGGATTAGTCAAGTTCAGGAAGATTAGAACAAAATGTGAGGAAAATCAGTAAGAAAATGAATTACCTTGGTCTTATTTTTCATTAGAAATAGCAGATTTCCTTTCAGCCGACACCATCTCTCTCTTGGTTCTATATGCAAAGAAGTAAGAGATTAATCAAAACAACCTTTTGTCTCCACACATTAAATGCTTCTTAAAGAATATGCATTAATAATAAAGGTCAGAAGAAAATCATTAACAAACAAAAAAAAATCAGCTTTACTCAGCAGCTCCTATGTACAACATGCTGTTAAATGCCAGATAACTTCCCAGAAGGTTTCTTCTAACCTGCTGCTGAGCGAATTGGTGACTGCGGCATATATTCAACTGTGTTTTCTTTGCTTCTCTCCCTTTTCTCACTCAAGAGCAGAGACTGAGACTTTAGCATTGAACAGCTTGCTACTAAACTGCTCAGAAGCTAAAATGACAGATGATATTAGATACTGATATATTAGATCACCTTCCTTCAATGGAATAATGATTATAAAATAGAAAAGTAGGCTATTTAGATCAACTGCATCCACATTTATATGAGAAATGGGAATATCCACAGCAACACTACAGAAGATTTTTAAAAAAAAGTTTGGAAGGGCATAAGCCATGCTCTAATTGCTGCACGGTATGAAGAAACATTTCCTATGGGCAGATTCTTCCCTAGCTGCCCACTATGGAATTCTTCCACCTTTCCTGAAGCATCTGGTACTGACCACTGTTAGAGACAGGATATTGACAAGACAGATCACTCATCCACTCTAATATGTCCATTTCTTTGCTCTTGGTGTTAACATCATTGATGTCAATGAAGCTACATAGGCAAGTCTTGAAAAATCCACTTGGTAATGCACCACTAGAAAACGGGAAGCTTGCCCTTGCAAGCAATGGGACCTAGAGGATCAATTTCAGCACACCGTTTTCCCTTAAAGACATTAAATTTCTAGTATGTATGGATGTGAGGATATTCTACCGAAGTATAAGAACCTATACAGAAAAGAATGTGACCCAATCGCAGTGGTTCCAGTATCCTCAGATACTCACAGCTTTTGAGAGAGACAAACAAGATTTCTGGTCAGTTTAAGTACAACTCTTCAGAACCCAGTGGGCAGCAGTGAAGCAGACAAGAACCGTACCCATTTTTATTGCTTCTGCTGCTAGGGAAAAGTTTTCAGCAGCAACAGAGAAGACACTGGAGTTATTCATGGGGAGATAGAACCTTAAAAAAAAACAAAAACAAAAAAACACTTCAGGATAGGGGATGGGTAGAAAAATGTTAGACACCTTTCTCCAACTTGCAGCAGAAGGTTCTGGAACTGAGGGCAAAAGAGAAGAGGAGAGCATCTTTTTCCTACCAGTAGCCAGTATGGGATGGAATAGGGTTCCTGCAAATGTATCAAGTATCCACTAGCCAGGGTCTGATAAAACAGATAATACCTATGAGCAGAATTCAGGGACAGCACTCTGGTAAAAATCCTAGCACCCTCCAAGAGCTGGGGATAGATGCTGTATTATTTCTCACCAGCAACAATCTAATTGCCATGGTTTGAGGAATGGGGCTCCCCAACAAGCTTTCTGGAAAGCTTGTTGGGGAGCCCCATTCCTCAAACCATGGCAATTAGATTCAGCTCCCTGGCTAGTAAGTATCTGGAACACTTTTAAAGATTAAAGATTAATTTGACCCAATGAGCTTACCCAACTATTCAGGGAGCAAGACCAGACAATCAAAGATGGGGATTAGTATGAGAATTGAAAGGTGCATAAGAACTGGTTAAAGGGGAGACTACAACGGGTTACACTGAAAGGTGAACTGTCAGGCTGGAGGGAAGTTACTAATATTGTTCCTCAGGGATCAGTCTTGGGACCAATCTTAATTAAGATTTTTATTCAGGACCTTGGCACAAAAAGTAGGTGTGCGCTAATAAAATCTGTGGGTGACACAAAGTTGGGACCTATTGCCAATACGGAAGAGGACCAGAATATCATACAAGATCTGGATGACCTTGTAAATTGGAGTAATAGAAATGGGATGAAATTTAATAGTGCGAAGTGCAGGTCATTCACTTAGGTACTCACAAAAAGAATTTTTCCTATAAGATGGGGACATATCAGTTGGAAACAACAAAGGAGTAGAAAGACCTGGGGAGTACTGTTTCATCACAGGATGACTGCGAACCGCCAGTGTGATGCAGCTGTGAAAAAGGCTAATGCAATCCTAAGATTCATCAGGCTAGCTATTTCCAGTACAGATAGGGAAGTGTTAGTACTGTTGGGTCACAGAGACCCCCTTGGGACTGTCACCGGATGTGCTGAGACTAGTTCTGAGCCCGTTTTCCTAGGCAGTTTGGGACTTCAGAACCCCGCCTTGTTGAGCCAGACATGCCAGTCTGCTCCCATACAGACCCAGGCTCTGAACCATATCCCCCCCAAACTGCAGACTTAACGGAAAACGGCTTAGAAAGTGCTCCTTTCTCCAGCACCCAGACACCCAGTTCCCAAGGGGTCCAAACCCCAAATAAATCCATTTTACTCTGTATAAAGCTTATACAGGGTAAACTCATAAATTGTCCACCCTCTAGAACACTGACAGAGAGACATGCACATCTGTTTTCTCCCCCAGGAATTACTTACTTACTCTGGATTCAATAATAAGCAAAAAGTGATTTTATTAAATATAAAAAGTAGGATTTAAGTGGTTCCGAGTAATAACAGACAGAACAAAATAAATTACGAAGCAAAATGAAACAAAAACACGCAAGTCTAATCCTAATACAGTGGGAAACTAAATGCATGTAAATCTCACCCTCAAAGATGTTCCAATAAGCTTCTTTCACAGACTAGACTCCTTTCTAGTCCGGGCCCAATCCTTTCCCCAGTACAGTTCTTGTTTCAGCTCAGGTGATAGCTAGGGGATTTCTCATGACTGCAGCCTCCTTTGTTCTGTTCCACCCCTTAATATAGTTTTGGTACATGGCGGGAATCTTTTGTCTCTCTGGGTCCCAACCCCTCCTTCTAAATGGAAAAGCACCAGGTTTAAGATGGATTCCAGTCCCAGGTGACATGGTCACATGTCCTGTGAGACCCCAAGCCTTCATTCTTCCGGGCCTGACTCACAGGAAGGCTTGCAAGTAAACAGAGCCATCTACAGTCAATTGTCCTGGTTAATGGGAGCCATCAAGATTCCAAACCACCATAAATGGCCCACACTTTGCATAATTACAATAGGACCTCAGAGTTATATTTCATATTTCTAGTTTCAGATGCAAGAAAGATACATTTATATAAACTGGATGACCACCCTCAGTAGATATTAAGCATTGCAATGATATTTTACAAGAGACCTTTTTCATGAAGCATATTCCAGTTACGCTAATGAGTGTGAATATAATGTATTTTCATAAAAGCATATGGAGTACAACATCACAAGTACCATCATACAAGGCACGAGTGAGACCTCCTCTGGAATACTGCGTGCAATTCTGGTCCCCCCACATTTAAGAAAGTTATCTTTAGTCTGGAACAGGTGCAGAGTAGGGCTATTAGGCTGATCAAAGAAATCGAAATCCATCTTATGAGAGGAGACTCAAGGAGCTTGGCTTGTTTAGCCTAACCAAAAAAAGTCTGAGGGGAGATATGATTGCTCTCTATAAATACATCAGAAGTATAAATACCAGGGAGGGAGAGGAGTTACATACATTAAGTGCCAATGTGGACACAAGAACAAATGGCTATAAACTGGCCATCAACAAGTTTAGGCTTGAAATTTAGATGGTTTCTAACCATCAGAGGAGTAAAGTTCTGGAATAGCCTTCCAAGGGAGCAGTGAGGGCAAAAAACCTAACTGGCTTAAGGGCTGAGCCTGATATATTTATGGAGGGGATGGTATGATGAGATTGCCTGCAATAGCACATAGCCAATCTGCGATTGCTAGCAGCAAATATCCCCAATGGCTGGTGATGGGATACTAGATGGGGAGAGCTCTAGTTCAGAGGTGTGCAAACTATGGCCCGCGGGCCACAGCTGGCCTGCGGGACCCTCCTGCCTGGCCCCTGAGCTCCTGGCCTGGGAGGCTCGCCCCTGGCCCCTCCCCTGCTGTTCCCCCTCCCCCACAGCCTCAGCTCACTGCGCTGCTGGTGCAATGCTCCGGGCGGCAGGGCAGCGAGCTCCTGCCGGGCAGCGCAGCTGCAGAACCATGGCCTGACCCAGTGCTCTGTGCCGCACAGTGGCATAGGTGGCTCCAGCTGGGTGGCACGGCTGCCTGTCCTGGCGCTCTGGGCAGCGTGGCTGTCGCGCTGCCAGCCAGCGGTGCTCCAGGCAGCACGGTGAGGGGGTAGGGAGCGGGGGGAGGTTGGATAGAGGGCAGGGGAGTTTGACGTGGTGGTAAGGGGGCAGGGGCGTGGATAGCGGTTGGGGCAGTTAGAGGGCAGTTGAATGGAAGCAGGGGTTCCGCGGGAGCAGTCAGGAAAGAGAGGGGGAGTTGGATGGAGTGGTGGGAGGGGGTCAGGGTCAGGGAGGAGGGCTGGCTGGATGCGCAGGGGTCTGGTGGGGCAGTCAGAAATGAGAGGAGGGGTTGGATGGGGCAGCGGGGGCGGTTGGATGGGGCAGGAGTCCTGGGGAGGCCGTCAGGGCACAAGAATCAGGGGGGATCAGATGGGGGCAGGGGCTGGGCCACGCCTGGCTGTTTGGGGAGGCACAGCCTCCCCTAACCAGCCCTCCATACAATTTCGGAAACCCGATATGGCCCTCATGCCAAAAAAGTTTGCCCGCCCCTGCTCTAGTTACTACAGAGAATTCTTTCCCACATGTATGGCTGGTGGGTCTTGCCCCACATGCTCAGGGTACAACCAATCACCATATTTGGGATTGGGGAGGAATTTTGCCCCAGGTCAGATTGGCAGAGACCCTGAGTGTTTTTTGCCTTCCTTTGCAGTATGGGGCACGGGTAATTTGAAGGTTTAAAGTAATGCAAACGGCAGATTCTTTGTAACTTGAAGTCTTTAAATCATGATTAGCGGACTTCCGTAACTCACCAGAAGCTATGGGTCCATTACAGGAGCAGTGGGTGAGGTATTTGTGGCCTGCAACATGCAGGAGGTTGGA